TCCACCTTTTCCTCCTCCAGACATGGAACCACCACCAGACATAGAACCACCACCAGACATGGATCCACCTCCACAGCTTCCACCTTTTCCTCCTCCAGACATGGACCCACCACCACCAGACATCGATCCCACAGCTTCCACCTTTTCCTCCTCCAGACATGGACCCACCACCACCAGACATGGATCCACCTCCACAGCTTCCACCTTTTCCTCCTCCAGACATGGACCCACCACCACCAGACATGGATCCACCTCCACAGCTTCCACCTTTTCCTCCTCCAGACATGGATCCACCACCAGACATAGACCCACCACCAGACATGGATCCACCCCCTCCAGAACTTCCCCCTTTTCCCCCTCCAGAGATTGGCCCTCTCATTCTGCTCCCACTGCCACCACCAGAGCTCATTCCTCCACCCTTGATGCCTCCAGGTCCTACTCCAAAAACTCCAGTGGCTCTTGCATTGTGGTCAATGACACCTGCAAGGAATGGAAATGACATCCAATTTAGTCTTTTTATCCCCCAAAAATTCAGATCATGGATCCGTTCAGTCTCCTCTTTCCTCCCCTGTTGGTCATGTTGAAGGGGCAGCAAAGGTCTCCATTGGGAGAGATGAAGCAATGGAATCTTGCCTTATTTTTCTGGCATTTTAGTTTGGTTTTAACACACTTTTTGTCTTGCTCCACCCATGAACATCCCATGGAACTTCTCCTGTAGGAAAGCCAAGACTCTGTCTCTCTGTCCTTTAGTTTCCTCTTATCTCCATGAATTTTAGGCCTAGTTTGGGTGTCCTTTCCTCCTGCCCCACCCAGACCTACAGAGCCACTGAGGTGTTCCCTATATCCTCCAGAAACAGTTGGAATTTGCCACCAATTCCCGAATCAGTGGATGTAGTGACACAGGAACTCATGGAAACTGCTCTGTGTGTCATTCCCCTTGGGCATTAAGGTGGGAACTGGGACAGTTGGCTCTGCTGGTGGTTGTGAAGAACACAAAACAGGAAGAGAAGCCAAGGAAAAGCTTGGAATACTCACAGATTGTGGCAGGTGAACCTTCCTGGATCCTGTGAAGGAAAGGAGACATGGAGATAGATAAAGAAGTTCATGAGGTGAGGGTGAAAACCACACTGAGCTTCCTCTTCCATCTGGAAAATCAGGACCTCTGGAATCACCTCCCATCAAGAAGCCAACGGGAGGTGATTCCTTCCAGGCAGCTTGGAGATCCCAGGGCTGGATCCAAGGACAGGAATCTGTCCAGGTGTTCCCAGCCAGGCTGGATGTCTCGGACCCACCTGTTCTCCTCCTCCTCCAGGAGGGAGCGATACATGGCGATCTCCACGTCCAGCCCCAGTTTGACGTTCAGGAGCTCCTGGTAGTCATGGACAAGGCGAGCAAGGTCATCCTTGGCTTGCTGAAGAGCCTTCTCCAGCTCCTGGAGCTTCTCCTGGCCATCCCTGACAGCAGAGCTCCCGCGGTGCTCAGCGTCCGCGATGGAGTCCTGGAGGGTGGAATTCTGCAGAGGGAGCAAAGGGAATGTCAGAATTTCCCTCCCACAGGGAGGATTTGGGCCTGGAATCATGGGGTGGCCTCAGCTGGGAGGGAACTACAAGGATCAGCAAACCCAGCACAGGAAAAGCCCCAAATCCCACCATTTTCTGGCATTCCTTGGAAGTTCCAAGCCCTTCCTGGATGATGTAGCTCAGAAGACACATTGGAATGGGTCAACTAACCTCGATTAGGCTCCAATGTGGATCCCAAAAACCCAAACCTGCTTCATTTTGAAAGGAAAACCTCATCCCTAGGTTTACCTCCAAACCCATTGTGCCTCATCCTGCACCAAGATCCCATGGGAAAGGGAATTAAACCATTTAGTCCTGTTGGAACAGATCAGTTTACCCTTTTCCTGGCGATTTCGATCTCTGGTTGGAGCCTTTGGATGTGCCTGGCCAGTTCCTGGATCTCCTGGTGGCTGTTCCTCAGCTGCTCCCGTTGATTCTCCCACATGTTCTGGAGATCCTGGTACTGATGGGAAGGGAAGAAGAGACACCATTGGATCCTCTGCCAAGGCTCAGCCTCTTGTCCTTGTTCCAGGGGTGTCCACTCACCCTTCCACGGTACATGGAATCTACTTCAGCCATGCTCCTCTGGGCAATCCCTTCGTACTCCTGCCTGACCTCCTCCAGGATTCCATCCATGTCCAGCTCCCTGTGGTTGTCCATGGACAGCACAACGTCCGTGTTGCCAACCATGGTCTGCAGCTGGGACAGCTCCTGCATGGAAAACCAGGTTTGGGATGTCAACCGTCCATGTGGTCAGTCCAGGTGGTGGTATGAGATAAGAATTGGGATCTCCTGGCCAGTTTCCCACTGGAATTTCCCCACTTGTCCCACCACCAGTTTGATTTTCCATAGGGAAAACCAGATTTGGGATCTTAACCATCCATGTGGTCAGTCCAGGTGGTGTTATGAGGTAAGAATTGGGATCTTCTGGCCAGTTTCCCACTGGAATTTCCCCACTTGTCCCACCACCACTTCTCATTCCCAAGCTCTTCCATCCCTCATAACATTCCAACCCTTTTTTCCCTCAGGGATTATAAGACCAAAGGCCAAGGAGGCTCAATTTTCCCCCCTAAAATGTCCCATCTCAGCAAACTTTCTGGGAAACCCCAGGAGACACCTGTGTCCTTCAAGGGAGAGGAGGGAACCACTCACAGCTTCGTGCAAACACCGGAGGAACTCCAGCTCCTGCTTCAGGATATCCACCCGGACATCAAACTCCGTCTTCCCCATGTAGGCACTGTCCAATTCCTGCAAAAAACCCCAAATCATCAACACATTCCCAGATCTTGGATCCAAATCCTCCCCTGAGCATCAATTCTTGGTGTATTCCCTTCACACACATTCCAAGTGGGTTGGGATTGAGTGAGCAGAGGGAAAACAACACTTTGGGAGGATTTATCCCACCAAGCACCAACTCAACTTCCAGAGGAAATGATTCCTCCTCAAAAAGCTCCAAATTTCAGTTCCTTCAGCTCAGATGAGACCAAACTCAGCCAAAACCAGAAGTTCTGGAGAACTTTGGCACCCAAATGGTGGTTGGGTTATCCCAAGGCTTGGATGTAACTCAGGCTCTGAGGCTCCTTCACCTTTTTCAGCTCCACAAACTCTTCCTCCCTGGATGTTCTTTTGTTGATCTCATCCTCGAATCTGGGGGAAAGGAGGAGGTTGATCATTGTCTTTGTGGAACAAACCCCAAAGGAATCAGCCCCAAGAGTGGAGGTGTTGAGTTGTCATTTAGCTCTAGTTGTGGGTTCAGGCATGGGAAAAGCAACTGCAAATCCTCTGGAAAATGAGACACTAAAACAGCCCCAAAAGAGACACTAAAACTGCCCCAAAACAATACACTAAAATAGCCAAAATATAAACCAAAATAGGCAAAATTCCAACACCTCCCACCAGAGCAGGTTGCTCAAGGCTTTATCCAACCTGGAATGAACAGTGACAGGGTTGGGGCATCCTCAGCCTCCTTGGACAACCTGTGCCAGTGTCTCACCACCCTCATGGGACAAAATTTGACGTTCCCTGAAGCTTTGCCACCCCAAGACATCCCTGGGACAACCCCAACACCATTTTTTTCCCTTCCCCAGATTTGTGGGTTTTTTTTCACCTGTTTTTATAATCTTCCACGAGCTGCAGCATGTTATAAGCTTCAGGATCCAACTGCTCCTTCTGGCTCCGAAGCGTCTCGAGCTGCCTCTGCAGGTTGGTGATGTAGGACTGGAAGAAGGAGGTGATGTTCCTGCTCTCCTCAGGGCTGGAGCTTTGCTGCTGTAGGAGTTCCCACTTGGCCAGCAGAGCTTGGTTCTGCCTCTCCAGACATTGCACCTGGGAGGCAAAGCAGAACCCGAGGGGTAACACCTCTCCAGCTGGAGCATCTCACTGCCATGGAGATAGGATGGGAGAGTGGAGGACCTTGGGGAGGACCTCTGGAAGAGGGTAGGACCTTGGGTAGGACCTCTGGATATTGTTGGGACCTCTGGAAGAAGGTAGGACCTTGGGTATGACCTCTGCAAGAGGGTAGGACCTTGGGGAGGACCTCTGGAAATTGGTAGGACCTTGGGTAGGACCTCTGGAAGAGGGTAGGACCTCTGGAATTTGGTAGGAACTTTGGGAGAGGGTAGGACTTTGGGTAGGACCTCAGGTAGGACCTCTGGAGAGGTTCCACCACCATGACTTCCACCCCCTTGCGCCTTCCCCTTCCAGGTGACTCCGAGCCCTGGACTCACCTTGTCGATGAACGAGGCGAATTTGTTGTTGAGAGCTTTAATCTGCTCCTTCTCATCTGACCTCACCCTCTGGAACTCAGGGTCCACTTGCAGCTGGATTGGTCTCAGCAGGTTGGTGTTGACACGGACCTCCTCGATGCCTCTGAGAACTGCCCCTTGCCCCAAGTCCTGTCCTTGGTCACCTCTCCCAAGGTCTCCCATGAACACTTCCCTCCCTAAGCCTCCTCTGTACGTCCCACCAAGTCCTACTTGTCCCCCTGGATAAGCTCCCATGAAATATCCTCTTGCACCAAAGCTCCTTTCAGGTTGTCTCCACGCACCCAACCCCATGTATCTCCCATGTTCTCCATAACCTCCACTAGCGTAAACATTCCTGACGCCCCCGAGGTTGTGGAGGCTCCTGCTGCCATAGCCATACCCAAACCCTCCATATCTCACTTCTGCACCACCCAAGGTCCCACAGTGAGCAGAGGAAGAGCTAAAACTTCCATCCCCATATCTGGAGCAATATCTTCTCATGGTGTTGCTTTCGGAGCAGGTGGAGGAGGTGATGGTGGTGAAAGAGGAGAAATGAGAATGGAAGATCCTCAGCTCATCTGGAGAAGGGATGGAAGTTCTCCTTTATACCTCCCCGAGGAGCTCATCTCCATTCCGTGGTAATTAGCAGGTCGTTAAGGTTGTTATTGGGTTTGGTTCATCAAGCAGCAATTAATGGGTGCTGGGAGAGAGGTCAGAGTAAACAGCACTCGCTGCTGGGGGGTTGGGAAACTCCCCAAATCCTGCCTGACTCACAGATCCATGACAGCTCCTTATCTCCTCAGCCTCTCCTCCAGCCTAATTACACTGCTCTGTGAGCTCCTGGATCTCCACACCCCTACGGCATCTCAGGGGCTTGGGATGGTCCTTGGGGGTGTCCCAGCTCATCATCTCCACACCCCCATGGCACCTCAGGGGCTTGGGATGGTCCTTGGGGGTGTCCCAGCTCATCATCTCCACACCCCCATGGCACCTCAGGGGCTTGGGATGGTCCTTGGGGGTGTCCCAGCTCATCATCTCCACACCCCCATGGCACCTCAGGGGCTTGGGATGGTCCTTGGGGGTGTCCCAGCTCATCATCTCCACACCCCCATGGCACCTCAGGGGCTTGGGATGGTCCTTGGGGGTGTCCCAGCTCATCATCTCCACACCCCCATGGCACCTCAGGGGCTTGGGATGGTCCTTGGGGGTGTCCCAGCTCATCATCTCCACACCCCCATGGCACCTCAGGGGCTTGGGATGGTCCTTGGGGGTGTCCCAGCTCATCATCTCCACACCCCCATGGCACCTCAGGGGCTTGGGATGGTCCTTGGGGGTGTCCCAGCTCATCATCTCCACACCCCCATGGCACCTCAGGGGCTTGGGATGGTCCTTGGGGGTGTCCCAGCTCATCATCTCCACACCCCCATGGCACCTCAGGGGCTTGGGATGGTCCTTGGGGGTGTCCCAGCTCATCATCTCCACACCCCCATGGCACCTCAGGGGCTTGGGATGGTCCTTGGGGGTGTCCCAGCTCATCATCTCCACACCCCCATGGCACCTCAGGGGCTTGGGATGGTCCTTGGGGGTGTCCCAGCTCATCATCTCCACACCCCCATGGCACCTCAGGGGCTTGGGATGGTCCTTGGGGGTGTCCCAGCTCATCATCTCCACACCCCCATGGCACCTCAGGGGCTTGGGATGGTCCTTGGGGGTGTCCCAGCTCATCATCTCCACACCCCCATGGCACCTCAGGGGCTTGGGATGGTCCTTGGGGGTGTCCCAGCTCATCATCTCCACACCCTCACGGCATCTCAGGGGCTTGGGTTGGTCCTAGAGGGTGTCTCAGCTCATGATTTCTATACCTTGGACATCTCTTGGAGCACAAGACCTTGAGATGGTCCTTGGGGGTCATCTCCCCAATTTCCACACCTCCTTTGGCATCTTATGGGGCAAAAGAGCTTGCAATGGTCCTTAGTGATGTCTCAGCTCATGATTTCCACACCTCCCTTGGCATCTCATGGGGCACAAGACCTCGAGATGGTCCTTGGAGCTGTCTCACCTCCCCAGGAGCAGTGACTACACCTCCCTTAGCTTCCCATTCCCTCTTTCCTCCCATTCCCAGGATACCCCAGGAGCAGCTGCAGCTTCTGCAGGGGGAGGGAGATCAACTTGAAACCACTGAACTAATCTTTGGTCCTCAAAGTCAAGATGAGGTCACTTGGAGGAACAGCTGCTCCATCACTTCCATGGAACAGAAATCCTGCTGTGCTTGCTCCTCCTTTTCCCTGTGGGAATGGTGAATCCATGGATTCCAAATGCCTCTTCCTGGGGTGTGTTTTAAAGGCTGAAATATCCAACACAGATCCAAGATTTTCCACCTGTGTTGTCCCACTGAGCATCTCCCTGGTCCATCCCTCTCCTAACCTCTGCCACACTCCTCCTTTCCAAGCCCCTACAGCCCCAGACTCATGGAAAACCATCTGGGAAGCAAATCCTGCTGCTGATGCCACTGAGAAGCTCCAGCTTGGCTTCCTTTCTCCAGGAGGCACTTGAGATGTGGTTTGAGCCTCCAGAACATCTCTGGAAGCTTCTCCCATGGGAAGAACCTTCCCTGTGTCCCCTGCCCTGCGGTTAGGAGGGTCTGAGCTTCATCCAGAGGGATCTTCTTCTTCCCAAAGGTGCCGGAGGAGGTCAGGATGGGAATCCACCAGTTATGTAGAGGTTTTGTGGTCAGAGTTGTGTAATTCCTTGGAAAGTGCCTCGTAAATCCCCTAAATTAGAGGTTTGGAGGGAGAGGTGACTAAAGCAGCTTGGAATAGCCTCAGCTGGACAAGGCTTGGGATGCTCTGGGGGAAAGAGAAGAGGCTTTTACTACAAGTAGGAGCAGAATTTTCCAGAAAAATGGCCGAGAAAGTCCATTTTTCCCTACCAAAATCCACTTTTCCCTATAAAAGTCCGATTTTTTCCTACCAAGCTCCACTTGTCCCTACAAAGTCCCTTTTTTCCTACCAAACACCTCTTTTCCCTACCAAAGTTCATTTTTTTCTCCTACCAAACTCCTCTTTTCCCCTACCAAAGTCCATTCTTCCCCTACCAAACTTGGTCCCCTTACACAGGAACTGAGATCCCCAAACTTCCATTTGTGCCAGTTTGATAATTAAATCCTACCACTCATCCCCATTCCATGGAGAAATCCAACCCAATTTCCCTCTGAATTCCTCCACCAGGAGGAGAAGCCCCTGAGGCAGGTGGTGATGTTGGAGCTGAGATAGTTTCCTCCAAACTTGACCATTCCATACTTTTAAGTGGAGCCCAGGAGGTCTCAAACAGTGAGAAGTTGGAACCAGCTCCAAGCTGCCCTGGCAGGGAGGACAGAGATGGAGATCCAACTGGGAAGCGCTGGGAAGGGACAAGATCTTCCCCCAGAGCTACAACCCCCACAGAGAACCCCATGGAGGCTTCACCCTGAGGACTTGACTTGGAGAAGGAGAGAGAGGGAGGTGATTCCACCTGGAGCTGGGAGCTCACCTGCTTGAGGGGCTGGTGGGACACAGAGGGGAGAGGAGTTGTGCTGAGGCTGATTCCAGCTCCAGGTTAGGACCAAGGGAAGCTCTCCTCACCCCAAACTCTGACTTTATCCTCCATCCGTTACCAAGGGGCTGATTAGGATCAGCTGGAAGAAATGGGCTCTGGCTGGGGATTGACAGGAAGGTAAACAAGGCAAGGAGTCGCTCTCCTGTGATTAAATTAATGAGCGAATTAACCACTCAGAAAATAACACCTTAATTAGCCTCTCAGTCCATCCCTTCCCTCACCAACACCAGCGTGAAAGTCTCAGGGGGGATGGAAGCTGTGGAGACACTGGAGTTTTTTTTTTCCCCTCTCTGGTAACACTAGTAAGTTCTCTGTCCCACCAGAGAGAGGAGGAAGGAGAAACTCCTGAATTTGGGGTTTCCTTGGCTAAGGGAAAACTTCTCCCTCTGCTCTCTGAGGTCTTGGAGAGGCTGAGCAGGTCCTGGAGCCTCCACATGCAGCTGCTGCCCTGGGGCTGAGGCGTGTGGGGCTGCACTGATCACATCTCCAAAGGGTTTCA